TTCTAGACTTGTTCTTCTGTCTCTGCTGAGAAGAGCCAGAAGGCTGGCTTAGAAGTAGTAGCAACTCTGGAATGTGGATTTAAAAAAAAACCACTGCTTTCCTGCTCTGACATAGGCTGGAAACTGTTTCTTAGACTTCCCCACTAGTGAGGGCCAGGAGTCAAAGGGTTCTGGAGAGCAGCAAGACCTCATCCATACCCCTCTGCACATTCTGTTTCTTGGCCATTTGGTTTCAGTGATGTTCCCAGGCCCATGGCTCTCAGGTCAGCTGTACTCTGTGGAAACTGTTCTGGGCTTTTCACACAGCTCCAGCAGAACCCTGCATCCTCCTATCCAAACCTCTGCTGACAGCAGAATCCTGTCAGTGCAGGATTGATCCTCACAGTGATTCCCACCCTGCTCCTGCCAAGGTTTGTACTCCTGAGGGCACAGCTCCAGCACAGCCAGCACTACTCCTGTCCCATTTCATGGATCCTGAGGTCACTGTAGACCTGCACTGTGCGCAATCCCCAGGCTCGCGCAATCCGACTGCACAGCGCAGAGATCCCTTTGGTCCCACTATGCAAGGCAGCCAAACAGCACCACCTCAGCCCCTTTCACAGCACACAGAATCCTGGAATGGTTTGGGTTGGAAGAAACCTGAAAGATTACCTTGTCCAAACCCCTGCCATAGACAGGGACACCTTCCACTACACCAGGATGCTCCTGTCCAATCTGGCCTTGAACACTTCCAGGAATGCAACAGGCACAGTTTCTCTGGACAACCAGGGCCTCCCCACCCTCACAGGGAAGAATTTGTTCCTAATATCTAATCTAACCCTGCCCTCTGTCAATTTAAATCAATTTCCCCTAGCACTCCATACCCTTGTCAAAAGTCTCTCTGCTCCTTTGTAGTCCCTTTAGATACTAAAGGCCACAATTAGGTCACCCCAAAGCCTTCTCTCTTCTAGGCTGAATAACCTCAGCTCTTTCACTCAGCCTTTCCCAACAAAAACGGTGCTCCGTTCCTCTAATCATCTTTGTGGCCTCCTCTGGACTTGCTCGAACAGGTCGATGTCCCTCCTCTGCTGGGGTCCCAAAGGTGGATGCAGTGCTGCAGGAGGGGTCAGCAGAGCAGACCAGAGGGCAGAATCCCCTCCCTTACGATGCCTACGCTGCCGGTGATGCAGCCCAGGACACAGATGGTTTCTGCCCTGCGAGCACACATGGCCGGGGCACGTCCAGCCTCTCATCGACCACATCATTCGCGCCCCGCAGCACGGTGTACACCACTAACAGCAGCCCGGCCCAATCACTCGTGGCACAGGATGTCCCCAAGCCGTGGTTAAGGCACAGGCTCCCCCGGGCCGCGTTTCTCGGGGCTCCCCGGTGCCTACGCGCCCTCCACGGCGGCGCCTCAAGGGCAGGCGGGGGGCGCCGGGCTGGGCCGCAGCCAATCAGAACGCGAGGACCCCCCT